TGGTAAGTGCAGAGGAGAACAGCATCCTGCCCTTTCCCTCTCAGACCAGAAGCATGGACAGAAATATCTGGAAAAGTGCTATCCTTCCCTGTAACACCAGAACTCGGAAGACTAGAGTATGTCAGTGCTCAGACCTTCATGAAGTGTCTCAGCACTTGCAAAGAACCTCTGCAACCACACAATAAGCAGCAATGTGCTAAACAGTTTTCGAAGAGTAGAACTAAGCAACTAAGAGAGGCATCTTCAAAAAAGTGATACAGTAAGTAGGCTGTTGCTTACCAGTAGAAGATGCAGGGAAGAGGAGCAATTGCCAAGCCCTGGTCCTTGAAAATGGCAAAATCCCTGCAGTGGTAAGGTAATTGGGGTTGCTCCATATTTTGCAGATGTTGGAGTGAATCCAGCAAAGGGCCATGAAGGTTAATAAGGGATTGGAGCACCTGTTGTACAAGGAGAGGCTGAGAGAGCTAGGATTGTTAAGCCTGGAGAAGAGAAGGCTTATGGTGAATCTTACCAGCATATATAAATATCTGAAAGTAGATTGTAAAGAAGAATGAGCCAGGGTCTTTTCAATGGTATCCAGGATAAGAGGGAATGGGCACAAATTAAGTAACATTAAACTTCATCTAATCACAACAGAATTCTTTAAAATGAGGGTGGTCAGACTAGAACAGGTTGCCCAGAAAGGTTGTGGAGTTTATGCAGAGATATTCAAAACCTGATGGGACATAGTCTTGCTAAACCTGTTGGAGATAACCCTGCTTTTGGGGAGGTAGTGGTTGGACTACGGAAGATCTCCAGAGGTCCCTTTCAACCTCAACAATTCTGTGATTCTGTGATCATCCAAAGACCCACAATAATCACAAGCCTTGTAGGCAACAACAACGTATCCTTTCTGACACTTTAATTTAGCCTAAGTAAAAAAATGGTCATTAGGTGACTGTGAAAATGAAAAAAAAGTGACTGTAGCCAGAGGTTTAGGGTAAATCAGGTTGAATTTCTTGCTTCACATAATATTTCGTAATGATATGAAGTATAACAAGTTTTGAGAAAACTGCTGAGAAAAAAAAAAAGTTTTTCTCAGAATACCAATCGCTTGCTGATAAGAAAATTTTATGCAATATTAGAAGAATCAATTATGTTCAGATCTAGCTCTTCAATGTGCCAGCTGACTGCTCCAGTACTGAGAATATTAGGCACCAGTCATCATTTACAAATTTAGTGATTTTGGAAGGGGAACTAAAGTGGGCTTCAGACCAGAACCTGCATTTTTGAGACTTGTGATAATCTGTAATGTGTTAAAACATGATTCACAAAAGAACTGGAAACAGTAAAAAACCCCTCACATATACACACACATACATGTTCTCACTCATACAAACATGAGCCAAAAAAAAAAAAAAAAAAAAAAAAAGTCACAGGGAATACCTGAACAATCAGTTAATCCTGAGTCTAATTTGGTTGTAAATGAAACCTGTGGAAAGCACTGCTCAAAAGAGCTGTGGTTTCTGCCCAGAGAAAAAGAAGAAGGAAAAAGAAAAGGTGAAGTAATTCTTGGTTGAAAAATGAAAGGGTGAGAAACTCATTTGGCTGACCACCAGGTACCCCTAAAAAGTCAAATCTTGCAGGTAGCATGGGAAGATTCAATTTGAAAAAACCTGCTACTTTGAACTGAAGTTCTGTGCAACTTGCTAAAGAAAGACAGGATATTGGCAATTTTGCATAATGGCCAGAATTTTGATAGACTATAACATTCAGTAGGACAATAAGGGTCACGCAGCATCTGTGATAGGGGTGCCTAAGACCATAGCTGGAAACCAATGATCTCTGAGATCATCTACTTTAGGTACTTCATTGTGATCCATGGCACTCAAAGTAAGTAAATAATATCCCATAGGCAGTGTGTGGAAAGGCAAAGGAAATTTCACATCTAAGTTAGATCTTCATATAAAGTGATGTGAACACTTCTCTGTATCAAATTGGCTAGTCATATCCCCCAAAAGATTCAGCTGCTGCAGAACATCGAACATGACTCTCGGCCACAGGAGAGGAATCCTGAATTCCATAAATGTACGTGCTTCAAAGCTAAGATGAAAAAACTGGCAGCACATTAGAACGGTCATACTAAGCCAATGTCTCAGGTAGGTAGCTGCAAATAGCTAGCCCAAAAGGAACTATTGAAATTTTATTTCTCAAATACCTTGAACTTCTCTGCTGGAAAGCAGACCTTTTTGCCCTAAGGATCTAGACCTGCTGTCTCCTCTTGCAGGTAAAATGGCTGTGTTTTGAAAGAGGCAAAACAATAACCTAATTTATACAAAAGGCTAGTGGTAAAAGCATTGTCTGATGTAGGTTTGTCTTTATCTGAGGTCATTGAAACCCTATTGCAAAGAACTACTCTTTTACCACTGAGGTGGTGGTGGGGGACAAGGGGTTGGGAGTGAGGTAGACCCCATGCTTGAGTTGTATTTATGTTCCTGCAAAAGAAAAAAAAATCATGATTCATTTGACTAATGAAAGAATGCAAATATGAACATGATTCTGTAATCTGGTGGTTAGACACTACCATTTAATGGGGGATACCTGCTTCACAGGCTAGTTTTCACCTTTAAAGGTCTAGAATTTCCCTTAAGTCTTTCAGAAATAAAAACCCAGCAACATCCAGGGCTTTGGGAAGAACATTTTATTGCTAAGCATATCTTTAAACAAAATGCAAATAAGAAAAGAAAAAGAATTAAAAAGGAAGAAGAAAAAGAAAGGGGAAAAAAAGCAGTAACATCACAATAACTTAAATAAAAGTTCTTAAGGTTGTCCATAAAGCAACAGGGATATGGTAGAAGCCCACATACATAAATGCACATGTTCCCAAAAACTGTCCAATAGAAACTTACACAAAAAAAAAAAAGGAAAGTGTAAATCTTTTCCCCTTAACTTAAAAAGGAAAGCAAAAATGAAAGAAAGAAACAAAGCAGGAAATCATTTCACAAGACTCCAAGACTCCAAGAACAGCAATCTTTTACAGACATCAAGATATAATCAACTTTATATACTTTCGGCCAGTTAAGTCATCTAAAATCGTGCTCTCATACCTTTTTAAAACCTGTCTTTTTTAAAATTTTTAGTATAAAAAATAAAAAAGGAAAAAAAAAGCTCAACCTCACACACACGCACCACACACGCGCACATACACGCACTGAAAATATTTGTTAACATGAAAGCAGCTTCTCTAAATGTTTGAGAAGCCTGGGTTTTTTTTTTTTCAATTTAAGTTCCCATGTGCGTGTGTGTATTTGATGACACTTCTTCAAAGTCAAATATTCATGCGACTTATAAACACCAGCAAGAGTAGATTTCTAAACCTAAACAGCTGATTAGTTTTCATCTGTATACAGAAAAATTGTACATTTCTGATAATCCAGAATTCTTGTTATTGGTTGTTTTCCTCTCTGTCTCTCTGTATCTCTCTCCCTCATTTAGTTTTTTGCACATTGTAGGCATGGCCGTTAAACCACCTGGCTATTGTTCTGTACAGTAAAATAATCCTTTTCATAATAACTGGGAAAATGTAGAAAGCAAACAACCAAATTAAGTAAGTTAAATAAAAAGAGAAGACATTCCCAATTTAACCATAAAACGGTATATACACCATCAGGGTATCCATATAGAAATTATACTAGCAAAAAAAAATAGTAGTAAAATATGTAAACAAAATTTCAGTTTGTTTTCTTTTTTGACACAGGTAACTGTGACAAAGCTAAAACACACACTCTCGTCAGATTTTAAGGTTTGCTTTCATTGTCTGTTTTTCATTTTACTTTGTTCTTCAAGAACATTCTCATTGTATTTTAAGACCATAACAGAACTTCTGTTCCAGTCATCCCATCAAACATACCATGATAAATATATCTGTGTGTATATATATATAATATTATTAATTTCCTTTTTATTTATTATTTTTGTGTGTCATAGCAGCTTTATTTATTTTCTTTTATATAAAAGAGAAGGAAATGGGAGAATAGAGCAAATGGAAAGAGAGAGATGATCTGAAATGTCAAGCTACAAAATTAAAATATTACATATGAGAAACAGTTTGGTTTTTTTGGTCAAAAAAAGTACATATTTTGCGTTCTTTTACAAGTGTTTAGCTTTTTTGACATTTATGGGTCTCGTCACAAGTTGAACACCATTGGTGTCTTTCTGATCTCTTTATTAAACTGATTTTTTTTTTTTTTTTTCGCATGCATTGCAATCAGTCACAGAACTAGAACCCATGGACGGCTTTTTTATTTTTGCATGGTATATTCAGCTCAGAATGGCTAATAATTTTCCTAGCATTCTTTTCTGAATTCTCAAATCCCTTTAACAATCATATATCTGTGCTAATACATAACAAGTGATATTCTCAAATAAAGCCAATGACTGATCAGAACAGACCCAAACCCATCTATTCTTCAGCTCAATTGCAAATACTGGAGCCAGATCCAAGGGAACCAGCTTTCCATTATGATTTTCTTCAGCACCACCCATCAGACACTTCCACTGTGTTGTTAGCAAGCAACTTACTGCAGGACGACAGATTCTAGAGACAACACAACCAGATATGCAGAGTAAACACCATGGGTAGCTTTTGAGTTCATATATGGCAATAGTCTCTCTTTATTTATTATGGATTATTTTTTTTTCTGAGATTTCCTCTCAACTCATGTCTGGGTTCACCCCCCACACCGTTCCTCCACCCTTCCCTCCCAAACCCAAAAGTAACAAAAAAAACCAAACCACAAACAAAAATCAACCCAAGAAACCAAACCAAACCAAAAAGCCAACAATCTCCAAAATCATTTATTCCCCTCCTCCAATCTCGAAAAAGCGTATGTGTGCTGGACATGGCCAGATCAGTTTGTTCAATTTTTGTTGTTTAATGATCTTTGCATTTTTGTTTTCTTTTTTCTTCCTTCCTTTTCTTTTTTTTTCTTTTTTCTTTTTTTTTCTTTTTTTTTTTTTTTAATAAGTAAACTGAAAAAACTATCGATACAGTCAGGGATCACGAACATTGTTAAAGACTCACTTGGAGATATGAAACAAGTAAGCCGAGAAGTCTTCTACCTTTGCAGAAAGTTCAGGGGAGGAGGAGATTTGGAGACGTCCAAGTTCACTAACAGGGCAGAGCTGTGTGTACCATCTCCAGAACGCCAAGTGTGCTTTATAATACATTAGGGCAGAGTTTGCTGATTCCAAGCGATGACTGAGACGTTAACAGTCACTGCTGAATTTTTGTTTTTTCCCAATATTTTTTCCCACAAATGGTATCTCCCAATCTTGTTTGCTGCAATGTTTCTGGTATTTCAGTTAAATCTCATTAAATATTTATATATTTATATATAAATAATATTTTTTTTACACATAATTTTCTTTGTCCTTGTTTTTCTGTTTCTTGTGGCCACTCTTTGAGTGCTGCTTCTCCTTCACAAGTGTGCCGTTGCTCTGGGCTGAGTTGCTGATGTAGTTCCGTGTCTCGTCCACCTGATAGGACCCCTCGTCCCTGTTCCTGTACTTGTACATGGCATACAAGAGGATGAGGATGCAGAGGGCGGCAGCAGCCACAATGCCGACGACCATCCCTGTTGTGCTGCTCGACTCTCGGACCACCTCTGAGGCCCCCGGAACCCGTCTGATTCCTGGCTCCGTGGGGTTTGCTGTGGGCACATTACGGAACATGGGGGAAGTGATTAGCGGGCTCTTCAGCTTTGTGTTGTCTAGCTCATAGGCAGTGGGCAACGGAAGCAAGACTATGTCAGGCTGGGGTTTGAGCTCACGGTTATTCATTTTGCCGGCTGGCAATTTGGGCACCATCCCAGTCGAGGACGAAGCTGTGGAGCGGATCAGCTCAGGGGACAAAGACGTGGTAGTAGTCCTAACAGTTTCGGAGACTTTGTTAGGTCTAAAGTCCTTGGATTCCCACTTGGGTGCGTGTGCTTTGTAGCCACCTTCGAAGATTGAAGTGGAAAGACTCTTATCTGTTACCAAGGAGAAGGTGGTGTAAAAATCTTCATCATCAGTAGGGGGTAGGTTAGAGTCAAAGGTTTCCCCTGAGCCATACCCAGATATCACCAAGCCATCATCATCACAACCATCGCTGCCTTGGTCCGACAAGCAAGGTAACCCCGCCTCAGAGGTCATGGACAGGGAATCTTTGGTGGTCTCAATAATGGTGAGGAGGGGGCGAAAGGTAGGGGGAAGTGTAATGAAAGGTGCACGAGTAGCAATAGGAGGGATATCTAAAGGGTCTTCTACAAGTAGAGGGATAACTAATTCACCTCCTGGCATGGAAAAGAGAAAAAAAAGAAAATTAGTACATTTTAATGACACATTTTCAATTCACTTAACTCAAGGGTGGTAGAGGATTTGGGCATTATGAAAAAGTGTCAGGGATCAGATTTCTCACTCTAACTACACTAACAATGTAATTTCTTGGGGGTGCCTTTCATTCTTCCCTTCCACCCTCCTTTGACATTGGTTAACTGCATGTTTCATTTCTAGCCTATGCTAGGCACATACTGTGAAACACTGAATATTTTGGGACCCAAAGCTTTTTGTTTTTGAAGATACTCTCAAGTGACTCTGTAAACATCAATTTTTGGTAGTGATCTTTCTTAAGCATTTGGTTACAAGACTGTTTAAATTGATCATTTTGACTTACATAGAACAATGTTCTCCTAGATGGATTTTACCACTCATCTTGTCAGTTTTTTCTCCTCTAAGTCTTTTCATTTAAGTCTTTCACTTGTATTTCTTCTCTACCATCCAAATCTGCTTGCCTTCCATAGCAGTTTCTAAGGCCTTTCTCTATGGCCTTTCCCATTCGTCTTTTTTTTTTTTGTTGTTTGTTGCCTGGTTTTTAAATTGTGGAAAAGTTCATAAAAGTAAGGGATAGAATAAGAACAAGTACTTACAGGTGTCCATGAAGGTACAGAGCTCTACACAATGCTTGTTCATAAATTTTTAATCTTTCTTCACCATTCTGTTTGACATTAGGGATATTCCTTTCCTTGCATTTTTGGGGGCTACTCATGCTTTACCATCCTGATCTTCAGTTCTTCTTGAAATTCTTCATTAAAAATTAGGGTAGAATTTATTGTGATTGATGATATAAATGAATAAGGGCTCTGATGACTCAAATTACTGCTTGAGCCCAGCACTGCACTGCAGAAGTGAAGGTTGTAGGGACGTGGGTGTTGGTCTCTTCTCCCAGGTAACAGGACAGGAGGGAATGGTGTCCAGTTGTGCCAGGGGAAGTTTAGATTAGATATTAGGAAAAATTTCTTCACTGAAAAGGTTGTCAGGCACTAGAACAGGCTGCCCAGAAAAATGGTGGAGTCACCATACATGGAGGTAGTTAAAAGATATGTAGATGTGGTGCTCAGCAACATGGCTTAGTGGTGAACTTGGCAGTGTGCTACACATTAACAGTTGGACTTGATGATTGTAAAGGTCTTTTCTAACAAAAACAAGTCAATGATTTTATGATTCACATCTACTGCTATTTCTTGATATGCAGATAACTGATCAGTGCTACTTTGTCCTAGCATGATGGTTACCTGCCTACAGAAGACTAAAAATGAGGCGTGCTTATGGTTTACTCTTGAAGTAGAACAATGAAGCTATAGCTATAACATTTGTACCTTAGCACAGTATAAGCTGCATCTGAGACAAGAAGAATCAGTGCATCCTTGCCAAGATTTGGTTTCTGAGCAGCAATATTTTTACTTTTAGGGTTAGGTCTTGTTTTGTCTATATATTGTAATATGATTGCACTTCTGTTTTTGAGCATATGCATCATTAACATTGTTCACTCTTATCTGGAGGCAAAAATAATTTTTTTAATTAACTCAGATTGTACAGTTTTCTGCTGATATCAGGTCACCAACACTTTTTTAGGGTGAGCCATATTGCTTTTGAAAATTTGTGTATAAATTTTCCCTCAGGTAATTTTTCTTTGGCTAGCCACTTAAGCTATCTGCTTTAAATATGAACTGAAGTTTTCATCTGACACCATCAGTAGTTATCAAGATTTGTTGGAAGGGGTGTAATGCAGTAGGAAATATTTCTAATGCTGGAAAATTTTAATTTATACTCAATATTGCTTAGGGAAA